ATTATGAAACATCAGTTTCATTTTCCTAACAAATAGTATTTTTCAAACCAAAAATGATTTAATCAGTTTTAGTGATAAAATTAGCCAAAATAATCCAAACCAAAACTACTCTGAGTCTGTGTAACATAGTTCAAAACTACTCTCATCTCACGCCATAGATTTTCCATCTCACAAAATTTAAACTACTAATGCAGTTTGAAAGTAACAGTACATGGAAAAGTACAAGCATTCATCTATTTCCATATTAGCATGAATTATTTCACCAAGACAGCATTCAAATTAATAGTTAGCTAGAAGCAAAATTCTAGATTCCATAAATTTGCCAAAGATTACTTCTGCATCTACTTCAACTAATAATTGCCTGGTGTAATGGCAATAGTTCATGCTGTCGAGCATGAAACACAAAGTTGATTAAAAAAGCAGCCAATAAGTTAGGCTTGTGGCTTAGAATTTTGAGAAGCCTAAGAGACATTTTATCAAACAGTTTGAAGGCAATGAAAAAAAAATAAAAATAAATCCTTTGTTATAAGAAGCAAATCCAAAACAACAACAAACTATTTTGACATTATAAGAATCCAAAGCAACAATCCATCTATAAGAATCCAAAACAACAACAAGTTTTAGCTCTAACACAATTATCTCCAATTCTGGGTTTTTACACATATTCTACACATCAAAGAAGTCATTCCAAAGACCCCTAAATGGGAAAGCCATAACAACTTCCCAAACCAACAATTCATGGAGGGCCAAAGAAACAGAGTGAACTCAAAGTAGAAGAAGAGAAATAGAAAACCAAAAAAATTGATGGAAGCCATTAATGGGAAGCTAGAATTACAGCAAAAAGTGAATGACCCAATAGAGTATTATGCATTAGAAATCATACCTTCTAACTATTTGAAGAACCCATGTGCGTGCGTGTATGTGAAGCTCTATGGGTTTTTGTGAGTGAATAGTGAAAGAAATAGAGACAGCAAAACAGAGCCAAGAGGGAGAGAGCGGATCTCAGGCGACGGTGACCAACAAGGAGGTGAATCGGTGCTCCGATTGCCGACGAACGTGAGGAGGAGTGGCTGTAAGGCCCCTGAAATATGTATTTACTTCTCAGACCCTAATGTTGAATTATTTTCTTAAAGCCCCTCGGTTACTTGAATAAATTCGAATCTTGTCGGTTAGCATTACTATTTTACTTTATTTTATTTATTTATTTATTTTTATTGAAACAAGAATTACCTTAGCCAGATTAGGTTCCCTAACCTAATTTAATTCTACATAAATTACATGTATTTAACACCAAGCCCCTACTTCTTTATTAAATTCAAAATAAACCACAAAAACTAGTACATGTACTCTAATATTATTAGTACCATCAATCTTGTAAGATATATATATATATATACACCTTGAAGAGTGTTCTCTAGGACCAAAACCAATAAAATAATAACCCATTACACTCCTAGGGAAGAGAGAGGAGCCAATTTTCAATAATCATGATTATGAAATCCTAGAGAAATACAACCTAGTGACCTACCTAGGATACAAAATCCAAGAATTAGTTTCATTACAACTAGAGGTGGCCTAAACCAATGGAACACACCTCCTAAGTCCCTTCCATTCCTTTAGAATTCAAGCAAAATCCTAACTTTCCATCCAATTCCAACTAAAGGGCTTTTATGTCCTTTTACACCAAAATTTGCCTATATATACCACACCCTCCCTAGCTTGCAAACATACACACAACACACTCACTTACACACACATTTTGGTTAGAGAGAGAGAGAGGAGAGCAAGAAAGAGAATCTAGAGGAGAAGAAGGAGGAAGAGAAGAGAGTTTCTTGTGCAAAGCTTAGAAGGTAAGCCACCAACACAACATTCCCTTCATTTCCTTTTCTAATGCATGTTCTAAAGTTTCTAAATAATGTTTTCCAGATCTGTTATTATCAAGTTTTTATGTTAAAAATACTAAGATTTGAGTATTGGGTTCATCTCTCTTGTATTTCCCCATTTTGGCACAAACCATCTTCTTTTTGTACAAATCTCTCAACTTTTCAAGGGCACTCTTTCAAACAAATTTTCTGAGTTAAACATGTGATAGTTAGCATATTTTCTTCACAAAAGAAATGAAACTTTCCCATGGTGGAACCCCTTTTTTATAAATTTCCTTGTTTTGGGCATTCCACCTTAAAACCTGTTTTTTTCAGTCAACTTTCAAAAATTCCAGAAAAATGTGAAAAAATATTCTGAACCTCTATTTTATATCAAAACCGTCCTTAAGGAGTTAGCTTTCAACTAAAATTGGTCTCATCGAAAAACATTGAGTGGTTTGCGAGAAAATCAAGTTTTCATAACAGTCGATAGATCTGGGCAGATCTGGGCAGATTCTGGAACAGTGCTGGACTATTTTGTAAATAACTTAAAATCGGAAAAAGCAATCCCATTTCCGAAAAATGTTCTAGGAACTAGATCAAATTCTCTACAAACCATAGGAAAATCGAGTCCGGTAGGTGAACCTAAGTAGTCCTTCCATATTAACCTTCATGTGATGTTAAATCTGGAAATTTGTTATGTTTGGATGTTTTATACCCTTGTATTCATGAAAATGTTTTATGGCTTATTATCATATCTTGGCATAATGTTGTATGGGTATGTTATGTTATTTATCTTCTTATCTTGAGGAGGCATGCTTATGTGAATTTTATTTTATCGTTTAGTTGAACTAACCTTGACTTAAAACACCTAATTCAACGGGAAACCTAATTGGGTGGGTATTGGGTTTTCGAACACTTGAGAAATGAAAAGATGAGAAAATGTGATATATGGACTGTTGGGATGCGTTTCCTATTCGAAAGTTAAAGTCTTGCGCAAGTGGTTTTCGGAACCCTTGAACGGAGTGGTTGTATTCGGACCCTAGGTGGTTTGGTGTGAGGAAGGATTCGGGCAAGACCCTATTTTACCGTCTCTTTTGAGGCCCTGCGGTTGGCGCTACGCGGTATATAACCGTTGGTAGGCATCCGAGGTTAGGTCTGCAACAAAGCAGCAAAAGAGGGGGCATACCGAATAATCCGCGTCCGATTCTTATGGTTGGGAGGACGAAATCTCTTTGGGGGATTTCTAGTTACTAACTTCTGACTCAACTCCTAATGTATTTATTTGTTTATTGGAGTATCATGCTTTACTATTTGACGTTATAAATGTGATTGTGTATTGGACTGGGTAAAAGGGGTGGGGTGTGTGTGTGTGTTTACTGGGCATTCAAAGCTCACGGCGTATCATGCCAGGTGACGAAGCGGAATTTATAGCTGGAGACGACGAACCTGAAACATTTGAAGACTTTTGACTATCTTAGGAAAGCTAGAAATTTCCTTTTGTTATTTTGTAAGAACTCATGTGAAGTTTTAAAGCTTCTTTTGGGATGTAATGTAATAGAACAAGCTTTGAAATTAAGGATATTCATGGTTGTTATGCACTTATACTTTAATATTTACATGTATGAACCTTATCGTTGCTTATGAGACCTTGTGTCAATACCTTTTAAGACCTGTCAAAAAGGATAGTGCGCTGCCTAAGAAAGCTGGACTTAGAAGGGAGACTAATCTGACTCCTCCGGCGATCTGGGATCTTACTGGTTATTGACCATAGGACTCATTAGTGACTCTCCCTTGACTACAACCAATGGTGTAGAACCAGGGCGTCACAGTGGCGGTGAGAAATGGAGAGGAGAGGAGCAGCGAAGAGGGAGAGGGACGCTGAAGAGAGAGAAAGAAAAAGGTGCTAGTTTTGTTTAGGGTTTGGTTTGGTTTAGTGAGAACGTGAGATATACTATATAGATGGTTATTGACGACTAAAATTTTTTAGTCGCTGAAAGTTTTTATAAATCCCTCCAAAATATTTGAAAGGTCTCCCTCCAAAAATTTTAGTTCTTTGGCGACTAAAATTCTTTTTTGTCGCAGAAAATAAACTTTTTGGTCGCCAAAGGTAAAAAATAATTTTTTATTTTCTATTTGGCGACTAAATGGTTTAGTAGCCAAAACTCAATATACGGCGACTAAAATTCTTTTTTGTCGCTGAAAATAAACTTTTGGCGACCAAAAATTTTGGTCACCAAAGGTAAAAAATAATTTTTTATTTTCCATTCGGCGACTAAATGGTTTTAGTAGCCAAAACTCAATATACGGTGACTAAATTTTTATTTTTTTTTGTCGCCAATTCTGACATTTTTGACATTTTTAGCGACTAAATTTTTTTTTAGCCTGCAAAAACCAATATACCCCAACTAAAAAAAATTAATAGCTAAATATTTTACTTTTGCTGACTAAAAAAATTTTTAGTCGCCAATTCCACAACTTTTGGCTACTAAATTTTTGTTAGTCGCCAATTTTGGTCGCCGAATGTGCATTTTATTGTAGTGATACACCCAAGAGAGAGAGAGTTGATGTTGGAGAATTGCAAGATATGAAAAAGCACACTTAAATTTCTTGAAATTCATATATATCAAACATCACTAAAGCTAATTAGTAGCTAAATACTGTACTTTTGCCGACTAAAAAAATTTTTAGTCGCCAATTCCACAACTTTTGGCTACTAAATTTTTGTTAGTCGCCAATTTTGGTCGCCGAATGTGCATTTTGTTGTAGTGATACACCCAAGAGAGAGAGAGTTGATGTTGGAGAATTGTAAGATATGAAAAAGCACACTTAAATTTCTTGAAATTCATATATATCAAACATCACTAAAGCTTATACATTGATAATTAAGGACATTATCAAAGCCACAACAGCCTGCCCCCAAGCAGCTATAGATTAGCCAAAGCATGCCATGAAAAACAAAACCAACAAACTATATGTATAAAGAAGAAGCAGCCTGACGCATACATCCCATTTTGCTGTATGCCAACAAGATCTCACAAAGCTAGAATACCGATCATAATATCTCTTATTATAATATTACAGTTAGGTTCCAGGAGACAGGAATTGATCTTGATTCTTGAAGTATTTCTGGTATGATCATGGAGCTAAGACCCATACCATTATCTCTCCTGCTGCTTGTTTGTATATTTCTTCCACTGGAAATGCCTCTGGAAGCTGATCTGGAGCTATCCTTGCCTGTTCAAATTAATTCGCCAGCCCAGAATTTTAATTTTATAATAATAATAATTAAACACATTATACTGATGCATAAAACCATAACATCTATTACTTTGAAACAACCAAAAATAATAATAATAACAATTAAGTTGTGTCATGCTTTTTTTAATTCCAAAATTATTTTAAAATACCACTCCAATTTTTTATTTCTGAAATGCTTCTGTTTTTTGTTGAACTGATTCAGATTTTATTGGTTCTTCACTCCATATCAACTGCTTAATTTTTTATTGTGAAAAATTGAGAGTTAGTTTCTTTAGATTTTCATAGAACACGTATCAAGAACAAAGGATTGGCTTAGTAGATGAGGTGTTGCCCTGTCAATTATGATGATTAGGTTCGAGTTTACATATTATTCATTTGACATATGAAAATATTTACTACTTTAATTGAAAAATGGTCAAAGTGGGTTTCAACTCGCCCCATATTTGCATGTGCTATTGATAATCACAAAACCCTAGTTCATCATGAACAGTCAAAATTTGGGTTTCATCATGTGTTTCCAAACTCAAACACACTATTCATGCATCAAGCTAACCCTAATTCAACTGGCCTCATATTGGCAACTTACTCATTAACATAATCTACCGCAAAAAAGCGTTAAAAAAAGAATTACCCCAAATGATACATGAATCACTAATTTCAAAAACCCAAATTAGATTCATCCAACAACAGTAAGTAGATGAAAAGTTTTTAATTTTAAATTTTTAAATTTTTTTTGGCCTTGATTAGAAAAAAAAAATAAGGTAGGAGAAAGCGATAGCTTGTAACAATCCTCTCTAATGTGCAAAGAAGTAAGTTAGAGGAGACTTACATGGGCTTGAATCATGTACATGGTCCGATTCTGATCCGATGAAACATGAGCAAACACAACATCTAGCTTGTGCTTCTCCAACACATAGCAGATAGCAGTGAAAAGTCCAGCTTTCTTCATCGAGCACACGCTGATCTGCGCATGATCACCGCACACATTCAAGATCACATTCGAAGAAGTCCAAGTCTGGAATAGAGGAGGGAACCGAGAGAGAGACACTGGCAGTGCATTGGATGAGTTTGAGTTTGTGTTGTTTGAAGACACTTGATCGGCCATGAAAGCCTCCCTTGAGTCGATGGGAAGCTTTTGTGGGGTGATTATGGATGATTGACCATCGAAGTTCATGGGTGTCAAGCCATGGAGCCTTTCCAGCTTCTGCCTTTGGAGCTTTTGGAGATTTTGCTGTAGGGATTTTATGTGGGTCACTGCTTCATCCACAATTGTAGACTTGTCTGCCTATACAAATATTCAATGTGAACTATCATATGGATGATGAGAAGGCAAAATTCAAACAAAACGGATGTGAGTAATTGTAGTTTCATCGTTTTTTGAAATCAAATACCCGTCAGTTAAGCATTTAATTTAAAAAATACTACTATTACACAATTTTGAATGAACTTTTTATATAAAAATTTTGTTTGTATATTATTTTTTGTTTGGACTAGGCCTTAATGATCCTCTTCTTGTGTCACAATAAAAATGTTAGAATAAAAAATTTATAAATTTGATTTTTGAGTATTGTCAAAGCACCAAATTTAAATGTATCTCATTCAAATTTTGAAAAATTTCTAAGTACATGATATGCGTTATGTCCAAGACTCATGTGCTTATCCCAAAATTTCTTTTTTACTTTGGGAGAGTCATATATAATTGCAAACCATTTTTGTAACACTAACATACAAATGCACTTCCATTTTAATACTGTGAACAAAATCAACCAGTTAGATGGCATTATTGGTGTTCTAGTAAATACCATTTCATTTGTGATTAATTGAAACTTCGTGTTGTGAGAGGAATATAAAGTTATCAATTTCTATATATCCATAGAATCTAATAACATAATGAGATATAATTTTTTTACATTAGTTGAGTTAAAAGTTTGTGTTTGATTTTGCAATCAATTTTTCATAAAGGTGTAGGTCATCCACATTAAGAAACAAATGGAAATTGATGAGGCTTATGAAGTTACTTGAAAGGATTAATGAGAACATTTAGTTGAACTTGAACCCAAAAAAAAAAAACATAGCTTAATGAATCCATAACTTTGGGCTATTTTGAGAAGATGATTAAAAGCTGCTTTTTGACTTTTTTTGAATTTTTTGTGAAAGAGAGAAGTGGGTTAAAAGTTAGGAAGTGGCTTTTAACTTACTTCCCAAAATAGCCCTTCACTAATAACATTTCAATGATTGATAGTAATGAATAATTGATTTCAAGTGTCCCATCGTCACCCCATGACAACCTTAAATAGACTTGATGAAAAGGACATCCTCAAATAGTATCACATTGATGAAAAGGACTACTCTCTTACATCTTTCTCATTAATTGCCCTTTAAAGGAAACAAATTGAAAAACTTGAAAACTTTGTATGTGAAAAATGACTTGCCTTAATAAATTAACTTTGAGAAAGAGATCGGAGAGAGAGAGTGATGAGGCCTCGATCAAAAAGGTAGAAAAAAGAATGGTAGAATTGCTTCTTCTCTTTTTCTTTTTCTTTTTTTCTAAGAATACCGAAATTAATCACAAAATTGAACAATTTTTATAAGTTGTGTCTGATTCTGTTATTAGTTTTTATATTTCTAAACTTTTTCAAGATAGAATAACCTAGCATGAACAACTACTTAATTATCATTCCATATATACACATCAATCTCAATCTTGAAGAAGATGTGAATGAATTACCTTGGGAGGGAGATGAGGGAGCAAAGCATGAAGCTTAGAGAACATGTTCCTCATCTTCTTCCTTCTTTCTCTCTCTGTCCATATATGTATCTCATGATCTGACTCACCACCACCTTTTCCTTCGTTGGCCTCACCACCACGCCCTTTTCCATTATTGCCAACCCCACCTTGTTTCATTCCTGGTGCCACCGCTATCACCTCCTCCACTTCTTTTCCGGTTGGTGTCTGAGTATTAAACCTCGAATCAGGTGGCGGCTTCTCACCAGATTTTTCACCGATACAACCCAAACCATCCGAATTCGAAAAAGCACATGACTGAGTCTCCCAAAAGAAGTTCTCATGTCCACCACCCAGGTCAGACATGGTGGCTACTAGCTAGTAAGAGAAAGAGTCCGATACAAAGAGATAAAGAAGTAGAGAGACAGAGAGAGACTTACAAGGGGAAGAGAGGGGGTGAGGAGGCGTTTAAAAAGGGAGTGGTGGCGATGGAAGGTGTTAGTGTGGTGGTAGAAGAGAGAGATGGAGACAAGAAATTATTTTCTATTTTTAAAACAAAAAATTATTGACAATACTTTCAATTAATAATAAGAGTCTAAATAATTATACAACTTTAAAATCAAAAAAAAATAATAGAGAAATAACTAAAAGTTGTTTTGAAAAGTGTTAAAAAATTGATTTTTAATTTATAACAAAAAAAAATAAGTAAAAAATATAAAAATAATGTAATTCAAATAAGTCCATAAACTTATTTTTTTTAACACTTCTCAAAACAACCTAAATATCATTGGACAGACACATAATTAGGTATTCTCTTTGACCCATATAATAATTTTTTTTTTTTGTTTGTTGGGGATGGGGAGAGGGATGATTCTGTTTGGTGTTAGGAGGAAAGAAGAGCACAAAATACAATCATAAGATGAAATGCCGTTACTGGCTTCGAAACAAAAAACGTATAGCTAATTTTGTCCATGTTTGCGTCCCACTTTTATGATTGTGGCCCACCTGGCTATCCCATGCAATTACACCCTATTGCCAACTCACCCTCTATTCTCTCATAATTTCTACTTACCTAAAAAAAATTTAATTAATTAAAATATTTTATCAAAAATTAAAGTACAGAGTGTAAATTTAAAGCTAATTTTGTCCATCAAATTTAATTTTGAATAAAATTGAGTGTGTATTTTATTTTATTTTTAAATATGAAGAAAAATTGCTTTGCTTAGCCGATATACCCTTTGGCAACTCTTAAAGAATGATTTTTCACCGTTTTTTAAGCTCGTGTATAATATAATACTAAAAGTAAGTTTTTTTATAAAATATATATCTTAATCATATCCATATTTTATTTTATTGTACCATCGTATCATATTGTCTTGATATCTATACTTCATAGGATATGCCATTATCCCATCAATCACTAATTTTTATTTTTATATTATTGAATAAAACATTAATATAAAAATGATGTTTCTATTATATAAATAAATAACATATTTAAATATCACATGACAAATAAGCTAGTCGATTCATAGCAATCTGCCAACCTTAGAACCACTAGAGCGGTGTTCAATATTAATATAAAAATGATGTTTCAAATTTGATAACTCAATTCAATATTTAAAATTAAATATATTAAATGACAATAAAATAAATTTTTTAATAATTACAATTAATATCACTTAAAATTTTATAAGTATAAGACTTTGTGGTGTTGTAAAAAAAATGTGGTGAATGAAGTTAGGAAACTATGCGTTGTTAATTAATTATAAATAATTCTAGTTTAATTATGAAACTGTCACTACAATAAACAAGACTTTTAAAGAATAATTTTTTTTTTTTGTTTCTGAAAAAATTTTGTTGCAAAAATTATTTGGAGATTTATTCTTCTTGTCGTAGGATCTTAGCTTAAAAGGCTGTTTCAAAAAATAAAAATTAAAAAAATAAGACTTTTAGCTATAATGACATTTTGACAACTAAAATATTTTGTCTCTAAAAAAAATAATTTAAAATTTAAATTTATTATGTATAACATTATTCCATTTTTTATATGTAAAAAATTGTTTGTATGGCATCACCAAATTAAATAAAATATTTTATTTTATCTTTTGTGAGTAATATTTATTAGATAATAGTTCAATAATAATTATTACAAAAATACAAGCGTTACATATGAAAGTAATGATTCAATGCCTTTGTGGCCATGCTTTTGTGTGTAATTGCATGCACTTTACATATTTATTGGCACCACCATCAACTGCTGCTGAAAGTAATGATTCAATGCCTTTGCGGCCATGCTTTTGTGTGTAACTGCATGCACTTTACATATTTATCGGCACCACCATCAACTACTGCTGTGATATTCCTCATCTTATTTCTTTCTACATTTCATGCTACTCTCTTTCCCCAATATTTACCATTGTCATATATTTTTTTTCATTAAAAAAAAAAATAGAATGTTCTACAAATAGTATTACCCATAAAAAATAGTAAAAATATATAATTAATATATTAAACAAATATGTTTTGTTTGATGTAGTAGCATGTATCATATTATTAAAATAAGCCTCATTTTTAATTTTAATTCTTTTTTTTGTTTTTTATTCTTACTGAAACTGCTTTTTTTTTTTTTTTATCCCCTGAAAATAAAATAATGGTGCTATGGTTCAATTTTGGTTTTGTCGGTTTGTGAAATTAAATTATACAATCAGATGACAATCTAATAAATACTTAAAGATGTTTCATATTTGATTCATCTTAAATATATACCCAACTCAACAATTAAAAAAAAATAAAAAAAAAAATCGCATGTTAAGCAGTTCCTTTGAACCTAGCTACGACATGACATTTTTTTAATCAAGTTTATTTAAACAATAACATATATAAGTGAAGGGTTTGGCTTTGGTCCATTCCCAGATCGGACTGGACTGTACTGTTGGATTCGTGCAAGCTCATCACGAGTCCCGTTTTGATAATCTAAACTGTTTAATGTGTATAACTCGTCGAGTAATATATGCCTGTAAAAAATCACATTGATTGGATATCGATAGATATGTGATCAAAACAGTTTTTTCTCAACCGTTAATTTGTTCACCGTCCATTTTTTTTAATACAAAACTGATTTGATCATATAGCTATCGATATCCGATCGACGTGATTTTTTACAAAAATATAATACTCGACGAGTTCTACACATTAAACCGGATTATCAAAATGAGACTCGTGGTGGGCCCCCACCGACCCAACAGTACGGTCCAATCCGATCTTGGACTGGACCAAAGCCAAACCCATAAGTGAAATTGTTTCACCAATTAATATATATGGTTAAGATTATTTTATGTGATTGATTATGTGTTTTAGGCTTATTGTTATTCAAAAGACTATATTTCTTATGAACGCAATGGAAGCCCTAACATATCAGTGTTAAAAATAAAAAAGCCACGTTCAGTTGTGTTTTCAAACTTGTTTTAAAAAAAAAAAAAAATACAAATTAATTTGGAAAAAATAAAAATAAATAATTATTTTTAAATTCTTAAAAAAAAAAAATTTCCCAAAAAGAAAGAAAGCATAACAAAATAATGAGTAATTGTTATTTTTTAAACTTTTAGTTAAAAAAATAAATCGTGAAAACTCAATCAAACAGTTGTTGTAGTTAAAGCTTTGTACGCTGCTATTTTTTTCGATTCCCCCCACCCCGTGTTGATTGTGAAAAAAAATCTAAAATTTTCAAGTTCAATTATTAATGACTCATTAAAAATTTGTTTAAAATTAATTTGTTATACACAAACGTAAAACTTATATACATTTTAAAAGTTGTTAATTTTTTAAATTAGGCTCAAGCTCAACTCGTCAAAATTATATGCATTACTAAAAAATAAAAAAACTAAACTACTTTATACTCAGCTGAATCAAAGTTGATTTGAAATCAACTTAAATAAATTTTTTAAAATTCAATAAATTTTAAAATCACCAGTAATTAGACATAGAAACAAGGGGTTTTTTTTTAAGGTCCCTTGTATTAAGATTTTATAGCATAAAGGACATCTAATAGTTTCATAATATCTAAGGTCCCTCAAGTTGATCCAGAGAAAATTGGTCCAGAGAAAAGTAGTCCAGAGAAATTCTGGTCCAGAGAAAATTAGTCCAGAAAAATTCTGGTCCAGAGAAATTCTCTGAGTTGAAAATGTTGAGAATAGATTGATGACAATTCTGGGAAGGAAGTGATCATGAAGGGCAAAGCTTGTGATTCAACATCAGGGGGTGGTTTGGAGATGCAACATGACATAGAGGTTGACGATGGAAAATTCTCAAAACCAGAGAAATTTCCCTTTACAATCCAGAGAAAATTGAGAAATAGATAATTCCTTTCATGATGATTTTAATACCTTTCAAAGAAAATTTCCCTTTAACATGATCATCTAAATACTATAGATGATTTTAATTGAGAAATAGATTGATTGACAGTTTCACATCACAATATGACAATTCCTTTCATTGGAGAAAAAATTTGATAAACGGACAGAACAACCTTGGTCACCCATAACCAACATAGCTCAAGACCATCTCTTTTCAATCCTCCTACTCTTACCCATAGATTCAATCCTCTCTTTTTCCATGCCTTGCAATAGATTCAGGTCTTTCACTTACTCTGATTCCCTCTGGGAATCCATCAGCAGGAGGGATTGGGGTTCCACTTCTGTTGATGCTATCAAATCTACTTGAGGACTTGTGCAATCTGATATGCTCATAGAAGATCAACCCAGAGAAATTTCAGTTCAAACCATAGAATTTCTCTAGACCAATCCAGAGAAAATTCAGTTTAAATCCGAGAATTTCTCTGGACCAACCTAGAGAAATTTCAATTCAAACTAGACAGATCAGAGAAATTCTCTAGATTAAAACCAGAGAAATTCTCTCTATTTGCAGCAGAGTTATATTTTTATGAACAAACCTTGGTGATTGTACATTGATCCAGGAAATTTATCTGACTTCACAAATTTCTCTGATTTCGAATAAACCAGCATCACTTTGACTCACCCAATACAGCAAGTGACTCACCCAATACTGTAACAGCCGTGTTTGTATGAAGCCTCCCATCAGGTTGATAGTTTGGCAAAGAGATCTCCCTAAACACCTCATTGCCTATATCAAATGCCACAATCAAGATCCCAAAACCATGCTCCTTTGCTGGATCAAATGCAACCCAATGAACAGCCCCATTCACAAACACAACCAGGTATTTATAGAAAGTTCAAAACCCATAGTAATTTCATATTCAAGTTTTTGCTGCACAAATCTTCTCCTCACACCCAAACCCTTCTCTTCTCTCTCCTCTTCCTCAAACCCCTCTGACCCCGAACCCACCTCTCTCTTAGCTCGCAATCTTCTTTGACATTAGATGCCCAATTTCAAAACCCTTCCTCATCAAACGCCGACACCAACGCTGACGCGGGTGGAGTGTCCGCTCCTCCTCCGAAGAGCAGCTGGTCCATGCATATGTATATATTTTTCAAATACGACACTGCAGAGAGAGAGAGAGAGTTGATCAGAAGCTTGCTGCCATGGTTGCGCGTGGTATTGAGGTTGGTTTTGGTCGATGCTTCGCAGTGGTGCTGGCTCGGTGCAGAGGGAGAGAGAGTTGTTTGTCAATAGCTTCCGATGGTAGCTCTTCGTTCCCATAGTAATTTCATATTCAAGTTTTTGCTGCACAAATCTTCTCCTCACACCCAAACCCTTCTCTTCTCTCTCCTCTTCCCCAAACCCCTCTGACCCCGAACCCACCTCTCTCTTAGCTCGCAATCTTCTTTGACATTAGATGCCCAATTTCAAGACCCTTCCTCATCAGACGCCGACACCGACGCCGACGCGGGTGGAGTGTCCACTCCTCCTTCGAAGAGCAGCTGGTCCATGCATATGTATATATTTTTCAAATACGACACTGCAGAGAGAGAGAGAGTTGATCAGAAGCTTGTTGCCATGGTTGCGCGTGGTATTGAGGTTGGTTTTGGTCGATGCTTCGCAGTGGTGCTGGCTCGGTGCAGAGGGAGAGAGAGTTGTTTGTCCATAGCTTCCGATGGTAGCTCTTCGTTTAGATCGGGCACGGAAGGAGAGACAAAGAGGGTATATGTTTAGGGACCTTAGACATCAAAAAATAATTTTGTGGATCTCTTCCATTACGAAAAGTGGGAGAGGGACCCTAGACTAATTTTTCCTAGAAACAAACACATAATAATAGTGTTACGAAAAAAATTGAATAATAATATATAGGGGTTGTCTTGAATGGTTGGTAGGTATACTCCCCACACAATTATTCAAGGTTCAACTCTTAGGGTCAGGCCAAGACAGGCCAGGCCACACAAGAAAGAACTTTCTTGTGAATTACTTAATCCTAGCGTTGATGGCATGCCTTTCATCGAATCAGAGAGGGGATTAGTCGTGGTGCGCATAAATTAGGGGATTAAGAGTCATAGCTGTGACTGTTGTGTCTCAATTTGAAGTGTACTATGGGTTTATTTTTATGATTCGAACCGTTCATTTTGTAGGATTTGTTGAGTACTTTGTGCCTATCAAAAATCATATTAATCGAATATCAACAACTATATGATCAAATTGCATATTTTTTATGTTATTTCTCAAAATAAAAACTTACTGTTTAATTTTTTGATTATTGATCATATAATTATTGATATTCGATATAGCGATCCCGGTTGTCCCTTTACTGTTCTGTTGTATTCCGGACTCGGTTCCGTGAAGTTGGTAGTGGTATTTATCTTGTTGTCGTCCTTTAATTCCACTTGATTGAGTTTTAGGATGTTTTGAACAGGGTTGTTACAGGTTGGTTAGGCCTTGGTTTCAATTCCTTGTTGTTCAGTTTTTAGGCGATCCGCTCGAGCGGGTCTTCTTGCGCTCGAGCGAGTATTGCACACCTCCAGTATTTCAGGTTCCTGCAAAACATCTGCAGTTGTGATTTTTGCGCTCGAGCAGGTTTGTTTACGCTCGAGCGGTGGCGCTCGAGCGGGTAGTACTTCCTGGGTATAAGTTCTGGGAGGAGGAAATCTACGCTCGAGCGGACTGGTTTTCGCGCTCGAGCGGATGTGCTTTGCTCTTGTGTCTTGACGCTCGAGCGGGCCTTATTGCGCTCGAGCGTGTCCAGATTTTTGTTCTTAACGCTCGAGCGTTGTGTTTTCCGCTCGAGCGGGAATGTCGTATAACAGAGGGCAGCTAGGCATTTTTGAATCACTTTCTATACTTTCTCTCTCTCTCCTACTTTCTAAAAAGATATTTTGAGAGCCTCTCTCTCTAGAAATTCCCTTCTCTCTAGGGTTTGATCTAGTTAAAGTGTTTTCCCTCCCTTTGCCCTTTGTAAAAGTTGGGTTGATCGTCGAGGGCTTCGTTTTGATCCGTGAATCTTGGAGTTTGGAGCATTTTAGTTTTCTACATCTTCTCCTCTTGGGCTCTGAAATTGAGGTAGGGATTCCTACTCACTTTTATGGTCTTTAACATAAATTTTTGGTGATTTTGATTAAGTGTTGAAGTTGGGAAATTTTGAAACTTAGGGTTTCAAAATGTCAAAGAAGGTTTAATTATTTTGATTCTAAAATGAGTATTTTGAGTTTCAAAATAGCGGTATTGATGTTGATTGTTGATATATAGGCCATTGGGTCGATATTGGAAAATGGGGAAGAAAGTCCTAATTCGTTGTGTAAATTAATTGGTATAATTAATTTGGGAAAAATGTTGATATTTGGAATTGAGTTGGAAATAATGAAATGATGTATTAAGTAATAGAAAGTAGTGTAGAAGAAGTAGTGATTGCATAATAGAGGTAAGAGGTACAGATAGGGGAAAACAGGGAGAGTGGTATGCTGTAACGGAAGTGAGAAGGAAAAGTACCATCGAGGCTCCCATCAGTAAGGTGAGTAGGTAAAATTTGTCATGTTTTGCACTACGTTTATAGTGTGTTGAATTGA